AAGGAAGGAGGGAAGGAAGGAAGGAAGGAGGGAAGGAAGGAAGGGAGGAATTTTAAAAGGTGAATGCCTGACAGGGGCACCTGGGTGGCTCAGTGGATTAAAGCATCCGACTCTTGATTTCATCTCAGGTCACGATCCCACAGTTCATGAGTTCGAGCCCTGCGTCAGGTTCCACACTGAACGTGCAGAGCCTGTTTGGGATTTTTCTCTCTCTCCTTCTCTCTCTGCCCTTCCTGTGCAAGGGCTCACTCTTTCTCAAAATAAATAAACATACTTAAAAAATAAAAAAATAAAAAGTGAATGCCTAACATAATAAAGTCAAACTTTTGGAACTGGGAAAGAACAGGGAAAAAGAAAGAATAAAGTAAAAGAGGCAAGGAAAAACAGAAGGAAAGGAGAATTCAAGAGAGGCAAACCTCCGTTTTCTAAAGAGCTTGCAACAATGATTTGTCAGGGCAGGGCCACTGACTGTCCATCTATGTACACTGGCTGAGGAGTTCCGGCGAGAGGCCGGGGCGGCAACACAAGGCACCACCTATGGCGGCTGCAGGGAGCACGGACTCATTCACCAACTCACTTCATTCTGACTTTCGTCTTTTAGTTTGTTCCCTTTGTTCTTGCCCAGGGACAGGTAGGCCTAGATCTTTCGGTATCACTGACTCTGCCTTCTGCTGAATAGGAAGATGAGTGGCCAGAGGAAAGCATGTGGCAAATTCAGGCAAAGCAGGGAGGGCAGTTGTTACCATAAGCCTGGGGGAGGTGAGTCACCTGCTGTGTACCTGTGCCTCAACGAAAACTCTGCCCTGACTGCCACTCACTTGAAGGGACTGAAGAGCCAGTGCCGGGACAGGTACTCCATGGAATAGCCTTCAACCCAGTCTGCGTCCAGCTTTTTCACACCCGCAATGAAGTACACAATGAAGATCTGCAAACACAAAATGCAAAACGAACATTCAAACAAAAAAAAGAACCCCGTTTTCTACAGACTACTGGCAATAACACAAGTTCTGATCTGAGTTCAGGGCCTAAGGAAGATTAGATTCACTCAACTGGGATAGTCACTCACCCAACAAGTATTTATTGACATTCTACCAATGCCAGGCACAGTATTAGGTACCAAAGAAAGTCATGAAGCATATATCTCTCATAAGGATGTCAATCTAGCAGGGATAAAGCTCTATTCTTTCCATGACAAGGTAAGAGAACCCAGAGACTAGGGGACTGGGAACAACAGAAGAGGCGGCCTAGCTTTCCAGCAAAAGGAATCCAAGGAGGCAGAGAACAGTGGGGTCTGGCAGCAGGATGGCCACACTGACAGTGGGTATCAAAGATCACCTCCCTCTTTCCTCAAATCCTGTACCTGGCCCCGCAGCACAGCATAGTTCCAAAGGGGCACGTGGGCATTCTGCTTACGGGCATTCAGCAGGCCGTCCACAGACCTACACGAAGAGAAGCAAGCAGTAAGGAGAGCTTCTTAGTCCAGCACATTTCCACCTTTCTTTTTAAATGTAATAACCTCTCTATCCCAGGAAGTCTTCCCATATCCTCTTAGGTTCTCCGGGCTATTCTAAAGGTCTTTTAGAATTACATAAGCAAATTTAACAGTGACTAGGTCATGACAGAAATGTTACTAGTGAGTGATAATGACAAAGAGTTCAGTGTTTACCATTAGTTAGTAAATTAGTTTGTCCTAATGGAACAAATCAGGGAAGGGACCATAGTGCTAGAATATGACTGAATTTGAAAAAGAATGAATTTGAGAAGAACGGTTGAAAAGCTAAAGGTATATGTAAACGTATACTGCATTAAAAAAAAAAATTCCAAAATCCAAGACAAACTGACATTTCATAGACCTAGATGCCAGGATGTAGTGCTGGAGGGTACCTGCTAACAGCTACCTTGGGAGAGATACCCAAGACACTAAGACTAGATGTATTCTAGGGAGGCAGCAGCAAAACAGGTTTTCAAGAACACAATGAATAAGCAGAGAAGTTGGGGAAGGGGCAGTTTACACTTGTGGTCAAGAGCACTGCAGTCTGTAGTTAAGGAGACCTGGATTCTCACTTGTGCCTCTTAGCCTGGTGGATGACCTTAGGCCAATCCTTCCCTATGCCTTAGTTTCCTCATTTATAAATAGAACAGCACTATAGACCTCATGGCATTGTAATGAGGAAAAATTTAAAGTATTTAGTATAGTGTCTGGCCATGTGCAAAGCTTTCAGTAAAGGATAGGTATTTTTTCAAATTGTGTAAAAATTATAAAAATGAATCTTTTCAGGAGTATTGTCAAAACTGTCTTAATTTTATATGATCAGAGCTGGCTATTTTGAATGAATTTAAAGATTTACCAAAGGGGTATCTGTATGTTATATTAATAAATGAAAGTTAATTAATGACTGATAAATCAGTAACACACTCAACATTTGAGATTTTTTTTCCCTATACCCATCTTACTGACATTTCATATTTGCATATTTGCTTTCACTTAATGGGGAGGATCCCTAGAGATCATCCGCCCTGCCACCCTGTCTCCAAATCCCTTCACCACCTCCCATGAAAGATGGTCGCCTAAGCCGGAGGTGGGGGAGGGTTACCTCCTCCCAGGACAGCACTGCTGAGCGGCCCTGATGGGCCCTCTCCTTCTGATATGACTCTGCCTCACAGCAACCGCTACTCTTGGCTCTAACTCTGCCCCCCTGGGCTCACACAGAGAAAGTCTGCTCCCTCTTCCACATGACCACCCTTGAGGTATCTGAAAACATCTATGTCTGGCTTTAGTCTTCTCTTCTTCTAAGAGGATTACAGGAATTGGATAGATCAAGGCACCTGGGGAGATACGGAAAGAGTGGAGGGTTGGGAATGGAGCCATCTTCCTTTTTGTCATCCCAAGTGCCCCAACTCACTGATCCTTCCCCCTCCCGAATTCATCCGAATCAAAATGTGACCCTGTAACCACACTTTGCAAAGCACGGTTGAAAATATGCTTGCTGGGGCAAATTCTAGGACCTCACTGGGCCCCTATCACCAGTAACCATCCTGACCCAGCCAACCCTTCCCCCTTTCCCCTAGACTCATACCAGTAGTGGTTCGCATCCATGAATGTCAGCTGAAAGGCCAACAAACCATACAGATAGGAGTGGTTGTTCCATGACGTCTTGTCCAGGAGAAACACATACCAGTATGGCAGCAGGAATAACACACAGCTTATCCGGTAGCACAGGCCCAGCATCATGCCCAGTGCCCCTGGGATTTGTGGGGGAGAGGATTAAGAGGTCAAAGGGTCACCACAGGCCCAGCTCCCCTGGGACAGGCTGTGGGTGGGATCAAGAAAAGTCATAGGACATTTTATCATCGGGTAAAACTAAATGAAAATTAAATGTTACTCTAATATTTTAAAAAGACTTATGGGATCACAGCTCAGATGACACACAGGTCAGCAAGATGAAATTATGAATCACAGCAGAAGTGAAATAATGAACCCAAGACTTTGGTCATTCACCAGCATGCTTTGTATTTCTTTGTTTTAGGTAGGCCAGGTAATACTCCCATCTCTCCCACACTTTCCCTCACCCAGAAACATGACGGTATAGACAAGATACATCCAGTCAAGTGGTAGTGGCTGCAGGGCATCCAGCAAGGGGAAGCGGCAAACCTCCAGCCCATCCAGGTATCTTCGGTCTAGGGAGCTGAGCCCCCGTTCCTGGGGAATGTCCAACACCATCATCAGCCCTGAGAAGGTAGTCAAGGAGGGGCCGTTAGGCCTCAGCAAAGGAAGAGGTGGAATACACGGGAATACAGTGGAATGCACCCAGCTCCAGGGTCAGACTTCTTACCTAACCCTGGCTCTGCCACTCACTCATTCCCTCAACAATAATTACTGAGCGCCTACTCTGTGCTAAGCATTATGCCGGTTATGTGATCTCAGACGGCCACCGCACCTCACTGAGCTAATTCTTCATTCCCTATTTGAGAAAGGGGCTCATCTTTTACAGGGTTACAAAGAGGATTAAATGAGAAAAGTGTACAAAACACTATAAATACTGTTTAGGTTTTGATAACTTAAAGTCTGTCCTACGAGGCATAGAAAGTGTTCTAGGGTGGTGCTTCTCAAACTGTTTCACTTCCTAGCACGCCCAGAATATAGTACTTGGCTTACACACTAGAGCAAACAAAAGCAGCTACTCAGGTCAGGAGGACAGTTCCAGTTTAGGCAGGGTTTCTCAACCTCGGGACAATCACATTTTAGTCTGGTTAATTATTTGCTGGGAGGGGCTCTCCTGTGTACCATTAGGTCACAGCATCCCTGGCTCCTAAGTACACACCGGTCCGTGGCCAACTACTTCCTCTTCCCCAAGTTGTGACAAATAAAAATGTCTCCTGGACAGCAAAACTGCCACCAGTTGAGAACCACTGGGCTAAGGGGATGGATATCTCAGCACATCTGTAACCCGTTCCAAGCATCCTTGTGTGGCCTATGAGTTAGGAAACTCTGGATTCAGGATTCACAGCCAAAATGTCTGCCCTGTCACCTAGCCATTTCTCTGAGGTCTAGTCCTCAGTATAGTTACTGGGCAACTTCATGCCACAAGCAAAATGGGTCTCTGTTCTTCTGCCTCTGTATTTCCTATGACCTCAGATCATAGGATTTCTGGCCTCCAAACCCTAATCAGAGACAAAGCTGGATTTGATCCTAAACTCCACAAAGATCTCTTCCAGGATATCAGTATCTTCAGCTCTAAGGAAAAGGGAGGCAAATCACTAAGTAACCAAGAAATGCACAAAGGAGGATTGTTATTCTCTCACCCAGCACCACACTGGCCCCTCCCAGAAACCGGACTTACCAAAGAGAAAACGGAAGACGGCCAGGCTGGCAGGATCCGTTGGTCGGTTCAGCAGGGTCACCAGCCTCCCCCAGCTGGAAACATCTGTCCACTCAAAACCCAAGAGTTTCGCCATTCCGCTGCCCTGACTGGGCCCTGAAGTCCGTCCAGCCTTGTCTTTCTGTACTTTATCTGCAAACAACAGAGAAGGCGTGTGTGCAGGTGTGGGGATGGAAGTGCTTTAAAATCGACTTCTCCCCAAATCACAGAAATCACAGCCCCAACAGCCCCAGGGTTTCTGCCTACCAGGTCATCCCACAGATTCCTAAGTACTCTAACACACTTGCAGTGCAACCCCTCCTCTGGATCCTCCAATGCCCCAGAACCTCTCGCGCCCTGAGTGTCATCATCAGCCCAAATCCTCGGACTGCAATCTCTCTCTACAAGCTCCTTCCGAACAGAGGCCCCCTTCCCGGGGACCCACAGGGCAGTGCTACCGCCCCCGCCCCCGCCCCTCTGACACCAGCGTCCCTCTCTCTCTCTCTCTGTGCCGCAGGGGAGGACTCTGAGCCTACGTGAGTCCGACGGGGCCCGCGCGGACCGGGCAGACACCGCCATAGCTCCAAGGAGGTAACACCGCCACAGACGCGGCGCTGGAGCAAGGTGCGCCCGACGGATCACTTCCCTGAGCCCCGCCTCCCCGACACATCAGCACGCGCGCGGCTGGCCGCAAAGCGCCGGGACTGTCGTGGAGGGCTTTGGCCAGCTGCGCCGACTCCCTGCTTGGCGGCAAAGGGAGGAGCGAAGAGCCTTAGTGCAAGCGAGCCAGCGCCTCAGCGGGCGTCGCCTTGCTTTGTGACAGAGGAGGGGTGAGGATACCCTAGACCCGCCTCGTTTCAGCCGCCAGACCTGTCTCTCCCCCGAAGCGTTCCGAAGCCCCTCTATGCCTTCAGCCTTAAGATATCGCGGAATTCTGGCAACTTCCCTGGGCTCCTCCTGCCCCCATTAGGCGTCTCCAGGTTATGGTGTCCCTGCGGTGCTCCCAGACATGAGCGATGCGGGCGCAAATGTCAGACTGTTCCCCAGAAAGGTTGACCTCTGAGTTGAGGACACACCTCAAAGGGCTATCCCGGCATAGGGAGAGGGTGCGAGTTACTTTATTCTCTCTTCCGGTACCTGCCAGGGACCAGAGGTTTGAAATCAGCTGGGGAAGCGCACAACTGCAGAGGGGATGTAGAATATGGGCAGTGTGTAGATAAAGTGTGGTCGATCAGGGAGGATTCCTAGAGAGGTGAGGCTTGACCAGCACTGTAATATCTATTTACTGCGCTGGGATTGGCCAACTGCATCACTGGACGGCATCCTAGAACAGCGGTTCTCACATTGTTTTGGTCTCAGGACACTTTGACCCAGGTGCACATTATTGAGAACCCTAAAGAGCTTTTATTTACGTGGGTTTTCTTTTTCCACGTTTACCATATTAGAAATGTACACTGAGAAATGTTTAAAATATGTATTGATTCGCTTAAAAAGACAGAAATAAGCCCATTATACGTTTACATAAATAACATTTTAAAAAATGTTTATGTTTGAAGGAGACAGCTGGGAAGGGGCGGGTAGAGAAGATCTAAAGCAGGCTCCCCGCTGACAGCAGAGAGCCCCATGTGGGCGCTGGAATTCATGAACTGTGAGATCACGGCCTGAGCCGAAGTCAGATGCTGAGCAGACTGAGCCACCAAGGTGCCCCTACAGAAATAACGTTTTTATGCAAAAAGTATATTTCCCACAAAAAGTTACACAAGTAACACTACTACTACTACAGTAGTACTGTATTGTTTTACACGCAAATCTCTTTAATGTGTGCCTTAATTGGAAACAGCTAGATTCTCCTATCTGCTTCTGGATTTGATCTGGTGTTGAATGAAGTATATGAAGGAAATCTGGCCTCATAGATACTCAGTTGTAAAAGGAAAAAAAACATTTTAATAACTTTTTTAGATAATTGTGGGTCTCCATCTTTGATACCTCACCTAAACTTAAAACTGGTAGTTTTTTAAAGGTTAGTTGGATGTGACTCTGAAACCAGATCAATGAACTTTTATGCTTTGTTGCATTAAATCACGGTATATCTTATACTTTGAATGGACCTTTTACAAAATCATGCATTTAGTCATTTGGAAAACATTGTTTCACTGAGTTATGCTGCTCTTCCAAATTCAGAGTCTTTTAAATGTTGGGAAGCTGCCAAGCTCACAGTGGCAGATACAAGTTTTCCAAAACTTTAATTTTCACTTGAAAGCTCAAATTTTATCATTGGCAACAAATGCTGTCTATTGTTTTCCTTTAAGGAACAGTCACACTCCTTTCTTTTTTCAAAAACTATCTGCCAAATGTGCCAGTTGGAATAACCATAGTCTGTCCAATATCCTCAAGTAAAATGATGTTTCATTTTTTTAAAAAGAAAGAAAAGGGGGTGCCTGGGTGACTCAGTCAGTTAAGCGTCCCACTCTAGATCTCAACTCAGGTCATGATCTCCTGATTCGTGAGACTGAGTCCCACATTGGGCTCTGTGCTGACAGTGTGGAGCCTGCTTGAGATTCTCTCCCTCCCTCTCTGCCCCTCCCCCGTACATGCTTCCTCTCTGTCTCTCTGAAAATAAATAAATAAGCATGAAAAAAAAGTCTTAAAGAAAAAAAAACCCCAAAGATACCCAACATCTTATTTTATTAGGGAATTGCAAATTAAAACAATGAGAGAATTATCAGAATGGTTGAAATCCAAAGCACCACCACCAACTAATGCTGGCGAAGATGTGGAACAACAGGAAGTCTACTTCATTGCTGATAGGAATGCAAAATGGTATATAGCCCCTTTGGAAAAACAGTTTAGAAGTTTCTTAACAAAACTAAACATGGTTTTACCATGTGATCCAGCAGTTGTGCTCCTTGGCATTTACCCAAATGAAAAGTTATGCCCACACAAAAGCTGTGCCCAAATGTAAAGCAGCGTTATTCATAACTGCCCAAACTTGGAAGCAACCGAGATGTCCTTCAATAGGTGAGTGGATAAACAAACTGACACATCCATACAATGGAATAGTCAGTGATACAATGAAATGAGCTACCAAGCCACAAAAAGACCTGGGGAACCTTAAATGCCTATCCCTAGGTGAAAGAAACCAATCTGAAAAGGCTATATATGGTATGACCCAAACTGATAACCCTGGAAAAGACAACTGGTTTTAAGGCAAAAGATCTGTGGTTGCCAGGAACTGGGGGAAGGGAGGGAGAGATGACTAGATGGAGCACATGGGGTTTCTAGAGAAGTGAAACTATTCTGTATGATACTGTAATGGTATCATGGTACATACATGTCATTATACATTTGGCAAAACCCATAGAATGTGAACCCTAATTAAACTGTGGGCTTTGTTAATAATAATGTATCAATATTAGCTCATCAATTGTAACAAATATACCACACTAATGCAAGATGTTAATAATGGGAGAAAAATGGGAGAGGGCTAAGAGGTGTATGGGAGTTGTCACATTTTAACTACACAAGTGGTTTTTCTTAGAACAACTGTGAGACGGCCGTCATCCTTGGGTATGCAAGGCGCTGTGTGCGTATTTCCCATTTCTTCACCCAAAATAGTAAAGGATGTGTACCCCAGTGTCAAGAATTAATAAAATTAATAATTTATACTGCTTCAGGGTGCCTGGGTGGCTTAGTTGGTTAAGCATCCAACTCTTGATTTAGGCTCAGGTCATGATCTCATGGTTCATGGGTTCAACCCCACCACGTCAGGCTCTGCGCTGACAGTGTGAAGCCTGCTTGGGATTATCTTCTCTCCCTCTCTCTCCGCCCTTCCCCTGCTTGTGTGTGCGTTCTCTCTCAAAATAAATTTTTTTAAAAAAATGTGTACTGCTTCACTAGGGATGTCCTTAATTGAAAATGGCATTATTTGGGGCGCCTGGGTGGCGCAGTCGGTTAAGCGTCCGACTTCAGCCAGGTCACGATCTTGCGGTCCGTGAGTTTGAGCCCCGCGTCAGGCTCTGGGCTGATGGCTCAGAGCCTGGAGCCTGTTTCCGATTCTGTGTCTCCCTCTCTCTGCCCCTCCCCCGTTCATGCTCTGTCTCTCTCTGTCCCAAAAATAAATAAACGTTGGGAAAAAAAAATTTAAAAAAAAAAAAAAGAAAATGGCATTATTTGAAAATGCAAGTGCACAGCAGGGAGGAATACAATGACTACTACAATTTGGTGTCTCATTCCTGCTAAGTTGCCAACAATTTTATTACCCATGGTTGCTTTTGTATCATCAGTGCAAATTGCTTTCGTACCAGTGCAAATGGCAACATAATTAAAAGGACAAATAATGGATCCATATTATTACAAAGGTAGTTTTGTCCTTGAAGACTCCAGGGTTTTGTGGACCATGTGTTGAGAACAATTATCCTAAAGGGAAGGAATGTCAGGAATCGATGTAAAAGTAGGGATTACTAGGGACAGATGTGTTTGGCAGGTAGAATCACTGGGCTAACTGTTCCTGCGGCTGAGGGTCTGGCCCACTTCTAGGTTATCCTAACAGACAGGGTAGGCCAAGTCACTTTGGAAGCCATTGATCTATTTATAGGGGGGAATCACTTAATCTGCTGTCAGCCCCAGTCCAAATGAATTTGGTGTGGGTTGGAAAGTTTGGGCTAGCTCTTCTAAGACCACTCAAATTAGATGGTTCCATTAAATTCAGCAATTATGATCTGTTATGTGACAAGAACTGTACAGGTTACAGAGAAAGAAACAAATTAGTAAGCTGTGGCCTCTGTCCTCTTCCTTGAAGGACAAAGAAACATAATAATAAAAGAATATAGAAATAATAGGATAATAACAGAATATATAAAATTCTGTGTATTTTTTAAAGTTTATTTATTTTGAGAGAGAGAGTACGTGCACATGTGGGGGGGAGGGGGCAGAGAGAGGGAGAGAGAATACCAAGCAGACTCCATGCTTTCAGCACAGAGCCTAATGCGGGCTTGATCCCACGAACTGTGAGATCATGACATGAGCCAAAATCATAAGTCAGATGCGTAACATACTGAGCCACCCAGGCACCCCTATAAAGTCCTAAGTATTAAGTGGGGTTTAAAGTACTGTGGGAGCATTGAGGAGGAAATGAATTATGACTGGAGAACTCAGGAAAGTTTTCTGAAAACGTGAGCTGGACTTTGAAGGATGAGTATAATTTTGAGAGAAAAGAGGGAAATCAAAAGTTCTTAGTAGTCTTGGGTGAACGAAGAGCATTCTGGGTAAGAGAAGTACAGCTAATAAATGAGCTGTGGTAACTCAGTACCTCTCCACCCCATGATTTTAACTTGTTTTTGTTGAAGGGGTTGATTTCCAGTTTATCCTTTCAGGACCAGTATACAAAGACCCATGCCAGTTAGCATTCGTTTATCCATAAAATGGCCCAAAATCCAGGAAAGAGATTTCTTCATGGATCTTTTCTAATAAAAATTATCTTTTTATATGCACTGGAGACAAAGAAGCCCTCTTTCAGATCTCTTGATTCAGTACCCCAAACATTAAATGAGTACCTACTATGGTTAGGGCATATATTATTTTCTACAAGGGTACCAAAGTGAAGACATAGCCCCTATCTTCATAGAAGTTAGTCTTGGAGGAGT